TGTTTTTAATACACACAAGAATATACTCCAAAAGCATGGAAGGACACGAACAGGGTACTCAGAGTATCAGAAACGCACAATTTTTCATACGATCCCTCGTCTGCCAATCTGTAGTGTGGATCTCAGAACTTCCGTTCCATTCACTTCCTCGCCTCCATCATTCACCCAGGTATTCGAACTTTTCGCATGTGGCTTCGGTTATTGCTTGAGAGTTGTCGTTTTCTTTATGGATGTCGTTGAATGTTGGTCGAGTGGATTCTCCATTCAGTCTTGGAATAGTCGTTCTACAAAGTTACCACTTCGATTTCAAGGAATGAGTTGTTTCCAGACAAGACTAGTACCAATTTCTCCACCCCAGAATAAGAGGTTTTGTGAGTCCGAAGTGGGTCGGACCAGCACTGGCCTCTTGATGAACGGCATCGCTGCCACTGCGTTACCGTCTTCTCAACACATAGAGTGCTTTCAAAAACACAGAGAAACAGAATTATAAAGCGAGAGTTGTGATAAAAGAACAAGAGCTATTAACTAGAAGGACGTGATGATCGATGTGACTCTTTCTGGTGTCGTATTGAATGCGGCGGAAATTTAGTGGAAATCGGAGTTCTTTTTAATCGAATATGAATTTGGAAACCTCTTGCGGCCCTCACGCTCGGTGAGTTCGGCTGGCATCTGTCTTCTACACACTACGCTCTATTTGATTTACTAGTTAAACATATGCAATTGAAACGCATTTCCTATTATGTGAAAATTGGAGGTGCTTTGATGTTACAAAACAGATCATGTTTGTTCATTTCTAACTGCTGGCTATTGTTGCTCCTGATCGATCGTGTTGGCAGAACTTTCTGTCGGGGTCAATTTTACCTGTTTTTGCTATATTTAACGGATTAGTGTTATAAAAAGGGTTAAAGTTAAAACCGTTGAGGGAAAAATTATATAATCCGTACTATTTGCAATTTCACTATCACAATGTGAAATAATGTCAGTGGTTCAAATGGTAAAAGAAATTGTCGGAGGTCGGCCATAGTTTAGCTCTGGCCTATGCTGACCTGCTAATGCATGAACAGTTGTTCGTATTCGTTTTAACATTCCATTATTGCTTTTTTCCTTTTAAACGGCTCGTCTTTCATGTTCTTTCATGTGTCTACTGTGCGTTTCTGTGTATACTTAATTTTCTTTACCATGTTTATTGATGTAGTTTGCTACGATTTAAGAACGTACGAAGAAGTAGATGATCTTCATATTCTTTGGAGAATGAGGTAACTTTCAGCTCAGTGCTGTTATTTTAAAAGTGTTGGTCAGCAAACTTGTCACATTACCGGTTACATTCGAGAATAGGAGGTTTAAAATGGGCCATGCCTTTTTATTCACAGACTTGTTAACTTCCTGTAAGCTTCAATACTTTTGAGGGTAAGAAAAAATACGGAGGGGGGAATAGCAGATCATAAGAAAAAGTATCCTCTATGGTGGGGAACGAACGCGCTATTACCCTTTCGAGGGGCTAACGCGCTCACCGCCACACCATTCGGGTTCTTCGTTTCGCCTTTCTCATTGCTGGTGGTAGTGATCGATAGAAATGGCTGTTTTATAGGACTTAACATTATTTATAGTGCTAGTCCTTGCACTTTTTTATTCTAATGGTTTTCACACATCCATCATCTACAAAAGTAGTCGGATTTGCGAGTACGTTCCATCGTTGCTTTAGTATTGTATATCTTATTTATGGGTGTCATTGAATGCTGGTAAAGTAGATTCTAGGTGGGATACTGGTACGACCTTGCTCCGTAGCTCCAAGCTCTTGACCGTAGGCCTGTTTGTGGGTCGGAAAGAGCTCTTCGCAGACAAGTTTGACACCAATTTGCCGAACTGGAAAAGTTGTGAGGCTTAGTTGGCCTGATCATGGTCGTACAAGTGCCAGTGCTGAGCGGCATTTCTGTGACTGTATTAGCTGCCCCTTCATTCTGTTAATTACCCATTCCAATTCATTTTTTCACCTCGTTTTCTTCACGCAATAGTATCTACCTGCATGTGGTTAATGAGGGTTGTGTCAGATTTACATTCCTTCAACTCTGCATCCTGCTGCCGGTAGTCACTTCTCTACAGGAATGTTTGTCGTAAAGCTACTAGGTCACGAACCTGCCTGTGAATGTTGCTTACGAAATCGTTGTGAAGACAGCATACTTGTGTACTTTGATGGATCATCTTCGCAAATCGTACCAACCACAGTGCATTTCAGATTCGTTTTATTCTTTCGCCATAATGTCGTTCGTCCGTTGTCGTTGTCGGTTTCAAAGCACTGGGACGCTTGCAGCTACCATTCTGTGAGATCAGTGAATCGTTTCCAGCTACTGATACAATATATGGTTGATGCTAGCCGTAAACAGACCATTAAATTTGCAAGCCGTTGTTCATTCTTCTTCCACTTTTTTTTCATCGCACGGACCGTCCTCATGTATATCGCTTTCGTTGTATTTATATTACACTAAATGTTAACAATGAATTCTTTCCTTGCAGTTGTGGACTGACTACCACGGCTCGATGTTCTATGTGTAGCCCATGTGTTGTTTCTCAAATCTGGTATTTTGTTTCGAGGTACTTTGCTGAAACGTCGACTGCTTAAAGAAATAGGTCGTGGGTAGTTTTTTCTTGAAATTCCATACCTTATCACCGAAAAGGTAGGCAGATGTAGGGATTCTACATTCGAAGACTTCGCAAAGCTGGCGAATCATATAGTTATGAAGGCGCGTAGAGCTGCTACGCGTTCCTTCCCCATATTGCAATCATTCGTCTGTTTGCGTATTCTTCTCTATTTGTAGTAATGGGAAAAAAAAAACGAATAGGGCTGGTTCCTTTTTTTTACACTTCCACTTCGTTGTTTCTGTATTTTTCTCCACTTATTCACGACTTTATCGACTTTAAAGTTTCAGACTACTTTCTACGTTCATATTTAGTCCCATCTAGTCCCCAACATTCAAGAATAAAAGACTCATTTTCCTCAGAACTATTTGTAGACTGTTCTGCAGTGGTGTTTTTAATGCCTATGTATTTGTTATTTAAGGTCGAAATAGTTATAGTTAGGCTACAAAAATTCGTCTGTTCTGCGTTCGTCTTGACGTTCTGCGTTTTGACCGTAGGAATCGTTCTCAATTGGGACTATTATGTTTTTTTCCCTTTACATTTCAGGTATGGGGTTGACGTTCCACGTATTACTCGCCATTGTTCTTGCTTCAGGACTTCATTTCCTCTACAGCGCATACTTCTTACCGCCAGAAAATGTAAGAATTATTTTGCACCAAGAAACAAAATTGAACCTCCAAATTGTCTGCGACTCATAGCATGCAAATTTCTTTCCGATCCACGTGGGCCAGCAATGCTCTATAGTGTGACCTAGGAAAACCCTGGCCAACCTGTCTCGTGGTTCCGTGGAAGAAGTATCAAACCAATAACATTCCAGCTCAATAGGAAATATGCTGAGTTCTACATGATTTTTCTGAAAACGGGTCATTTAAGGCAATAAATAGCAAAAATTTCGACTACAACGTCTACGACGCACCAGTATACATTTCTATACTAAGTAACTTTACACATAGGAGGCAGTTTACGATCAGCATTTGATTTCAGTGATGAATGAAGTGGTAACTCGTGGTAACCAATAGCAGCCCATGCTCGCAACTGTGGGAGTTCTGTGTTTTAGTCTCTTTCACAATACTAATAAAATATTGAGTATATGAGTCTACCGTCGTTAAATGAGCTCCAGAAGGCTATAATTGGTTGTTCTGTTTGTATTAACGGTAAATCCTTATTCTACAACCATGCTATTACGTTCGTAGATCCTCGCGGCTGCATACTCTCTGAAACAGGAAATGGGGAATTTTTTGCATCGCTCGTCTACTCCTAGGTGGGATCATGGTTTCTATACGAAACTTTGTGCAATTCTATATCAGTTTTTATGCCGTTTCTAGAAACGAAAGCTTCTGTAGAGCCAATTTGTCTGAGGAGATCACCAACTCACCGTTGACCTTGGGCCCTGTCGAATTTCAAATTTTGTTTCTGCTTATCTACCAGGATCCACCGCTGTCCTAGTATCGAACTAGTCGCATGGTGGCAAATCTCCCTCTGCTCCACAATGGCGGCGGCTGCCTGTGGTGGCGACGACCTGAGGCAGACTTTGGCCAGGTTGACCTCAGTACACCTGAGAACCACAATGGCTAAACCTGCAGAACTCCGAAAAAACGAAAGTTATGCTGGGACCCGCACAACCAGTGAAAACGGGCCATCCAAGTATCCAAGTAAGTAGGTTTCTGCTTACCTTCAGCGATTTATTAACTCATTCGTCACACAAGCAATTTTTCGTTGGATGTAGTCTTTCTGGTTTGTTCTTTTGACAATAAAAAGTAATTTATCAACAAATTGGGGTTTTGAGGGGGTATGAACATGACAGGATTGTGGAAAAGGCTTTGCTGTACCACTCTAAAGGTATGAATGACATGTATGCTACTGTTTACTACGCGTTACTACAGCCCACCAGGCAAACATTGCTGTCGACGTTTAGAAATGTTTTGCAGTGTTTATGTTGACTCTGTTCCGGTATTTTTATATCAACGTATTTCGTACAATAACCATGGCGATTAAAATCTGGCAACAGTTAATTGTTAGTCAAATTGCTGGTGAATGAAGTTTTCCAAGGTTTTTGCTAACTCATTAAGTGCAGTGAATGGCTTTTCTGGTGCTAGCCCTCCTAATTTTATCGGCTTTCGACTAGCTATCGAATGAATTTATATACTGTACTAAAAGAAAAGTTTTCAACCCAACGAACCAATAGTAAACACCACAGTTTCCTTAGTGTCGTGACTGGGTTAAATGAATTTCAAACTACCAAACTCAGTCACGCATATGCCGTTAGGATTTAAAGTAAAAAGAATACAGACAAATTCATGACTTGTAGCTTCAGAACCTATTATTTCTCCTAAGACCTTTTCTCGCTCCAATATTTTCCACTCATACACTACTGTTGCTAAATTACACAGAATTGTTAATTGGAAATTAAGGTAGACATAGAAGAAAGCGGATGGTATGGTTCTGGTACACAGCGTCCTGATGACTTAACTATTTATCCTTTCAAGGTTGATGTTCCCGAAAAGGCACTCCAAGTTAGACAGCATTTCCTCATTCTCTATTGCGAGAAAAGCAGTTTAAAATACACGGTGCAGTATTATTGCAGGATCTCATGCGGAGACTTGAGAACGCTCGCATTTCCCACACTCATCTTGAAGATTCTGATAATTTTTGGTACGGATTCAATTCTGAAGAGCTGGAGGTATTCAGGAAGTACTGGTTGAATGATTACAACTGGAGGGAATACGAAGCTGTTATCAATGCATTTAGACATTTCATGACAGAAATTGAAGGTCTCAAGGTTTGTTGGGGAATTTTTTAAGTTATTTTTTATAAGCAGTGTCAGAACCCGTTGATATCCACTGCGACCACATAACCTAATTTGTTCAGTCGTTTTGTTTCATGTGTAACTCCGTTCGTGTATGCTACCATGGAAGAATGTGTAGTTAAGCGTAGCCCGATGAACCAGTGGTTGTCAGTTTGAAGTGAGCCTGCGACTTGTCCGTTTATCTGTCCAAAACATTAAATCGCCGTTGAGTTATATTTATATTCACTATCTTTGTGAATGTATTACAGGAATAATAGTCTATGGTGATTGTGCTCTATGATGACATTGATCAATATCATTAAATGTTATTCTTTTACTTTTGCAACCTGTTTTTTATATTATATGAGAGGTGGTGGCATGTGGCGCAGTGGTTGGAGGCACCACTGCGAGACACACGTGGAATCGATCCCTGCGCCCATAGTCCACCAAACCCTCCATCTCTCCGGGCTTGGTAAATTGGTACCAGACTTGTCTGGGAGGATAGCAAAACTGACTAGATACTTCGGTAGGCCAGCACGAGTCGTTGTAAAAGACAGATATGCATTCAATCACCTAAAAACGATGCTTAATAAAGTCGAATGCTTGGCGGATCCCTCAGGGATTGCTCAACGCTGTGAACTTTATCCTTTATCCTTTTTTATGGAGCGGATAGCAGAGTGGTAGTGATGTTGGTCATCACGAGCATGCTGCTAATTCGATTCCTCAGCGGGCCAACCAAGCTTCACATTCCTCCAGGGTCGGGAAATTGGTACCGGACTTGTCCGAGAAAAAAATCACTATCTGAAATCCAATTGAGAACACTCTAGCCCGGCTATCTCAGAACTCCAGGGAGAATTGCTCGACCAGCATTCTATGACATTCAAGATGAAATGAAATTCCTCAAGCAGTAGCCGAAGCCACACATAAAAGTTAGAAGGTTTCTGTGGACAGTGGATGCGAGGAAATGAATTGAATGCGAAAAGTGATGGGATAAGCACAGTAAACATAAAGACGTGTCTTACAAAATAAAAGAAAAAATTGAAGTATGGGTTTACTGCTTTTTACCTAATAAAGGATGATTTTCTTATAACTAGAGTACTTAAAGCATTGAGGAAATTACAGCATTGTAGGACAGGCTTTGTTTTTTCACTTCTATAAAGAGCAAAATGTGAAGTATAGCTTTTCACAGGACATGTCTGATATAACATCTTTGTGCCTTCCGGGTTCCTTTATATTTTGTCCTATGTTATAAGTTTTAACACGGACAAAATTGTTAAAGGTGATTTAAATAACCTTCTTTTTCAGAAAATTGTTTTAAATTTGCTTGAGTTGTTTTTTATCCAATCATAAGGATGTTTAGTCTTATTTCACGTCATTTTCTCTTTATAGGTCCACTTTATCCGTGAAACTGCCGCTGCCGGGTATAAGAAAGTGTTTCCACTCCTAATCGTCCACGGTTGGCCTGGTAATGTGTTCGAGCTTTACAAGATTATACCTATGTTAACCGACCCAAAAAAGTATGGAATCCCTTCAGATGTGGGTATTCTCGAAAGTTTTGCTTTATTTTGTTTTTTTTTGTTTTGTTTTTCTCAGGGCGAGAGTCTGCACTGTTGTGATAGGAGTCAACAGGTGTATTTTATTATCTGCACACTCCCTCCCAACTGTTTAACGCCTTCTCGTGGGTGTCGGGCTCCGATGTGCAGCGGGATGATTCATCCCCATGGCAAAGTCTCCCAAGCTGAGAAAGAGTTCGGCGTTTCCATCAGGAAACCTAATTAGGTGTAAACCAATGCCAGAAAGCACCACCGTTCTGCTGTCAAACTACTCGCTTGATGGTAAATCTCCTTCTAATCCACAAAAGCCGGCGACTGCCCGTGGTGGCGACGACCTGGCGCAGACTTTGCCCTGGCTGACCTTTGGACTCCAGGGAACCACATTAGTTAAACCAGCAAAACTCCATGGAAAAAAAATGGAGATTATGCTGAGGTCCGAACAACCAATGAGGATGGGGCATCTAAGTATCTGCACACTCGAAATTCATACACTTGATTTTCTTGTTGTAATTATACTCAGATTTTTTGCCTCTTCTGATAACTCATGTTGCATTTGCTGTCTTCGACAAAATTTTAATCGCAAAGTAACCAAGTTAATTCCGATATCAATCGATAGATTTCTGCTATTTCTGTTTGCTGTTACTGTTTGATTTCGCTTTTGAGATTGCCTTCGAAGTGGTGGCACCGTCAATTCCCGGCTACGGCTGGTCTGACCAACCAAAAAAGACAGGTTCCCTATGTTTTTGTGGAGTATTTATTATTTAGTAATTTTTATTAGTTATTGCTACAGGATTTAGTCAAGTGACCTGTGCTCGAGTGTTTCGGAAGTTGATGGAACGTCTAAACTTTAATAAATTCTATTTACAAGGAGGAGATTGGGGCGCAATTATCAATGTTATCCTCGCCAAGCTGTATCCAGACCGGTAGATTAGACCCGGCTTTTATGAATCTGATGAATAACTTTTCCAATCTTTTCAGAGTTTTTGGAATTCATTTAAATATGATGCCACTTATACCACTCTCTTCTTTCAAAGTAACAGCACTTGAAATCATCGGCACACTATTTCCAAAGGTTGTTTTTCTAGAACCAATTTGAATCAGTTGTTTTCCACATTTCACTAATGGTACGTTTCAGTTGGTTTTCTCCTCTGCGAACCACCATAATCATAGTATCCTTGAAAAATTTTCGACCATGATAGTGGAAAGTGGTTATATGCATCTACAGGCGACAAAGCCAGACACAGTAGGTCCGTAGAACATTTTTGCTCGTGATTACTCAAAGGGAATTCATTTGAGAGTGCTGTAAGTTTGTAGGAGTATGTTCAAAGCAGTTGTTTCTTCTTTGGCACTTCGTTTTCCAGTTTGATAAACGAGGCCTGTGAAAGGTGTAAGATATATATTACACGGTAAAATATGAGTGACGCGCAGTTTAACGGAACGAGTCTTCATCATATACTTCTTCGTTATGGTTACGTGACGTTTAGGAATGCCGAATCGTGATATAAAATTAGAACTATTCCCCATCTAGGCTGCATGTATTGAAAAGATGTTCGTGTTTTTTACCCGAAATTCCGAGAATACGAGAATAAGATGACTAGAAGTTTAACTACTTTCTAGTAGAAATCCAATTCCTTGATTGAAAACCTCTTGCCGACGATATGGGAAGCCCTAACATGGCAATCTCAAGACTCAAAGGAAAAAAATTTGGTTAACACCGTATCTGTTAATAGAAAAATCTGAGAGCTTTCACGACCCTTCTTGCAAGCATCCCATTTAGTATTCCTGTGTTTTCAGCTTTCTAACATTTTAGATCGTTTTTAAATTGGCTCCTTTGAACTCTCTAATCTCAGTTGGGTCAAATTTTCCAAACGTCAACGTATTATCCAAATGAAATAAAAGCCAGCAGTTTAGACTCCAAATTGGGTACGTTGTGGTTAAGCCGGCTTATACGGCACTTATCGGTAGTAAGTAGTTATCTGTGTCGTTCAGTGTAATAATAGAATATTGTAGCCTAAACAATCGAGAAAAGTATTTTTTTATAACAGAAAGACCATTCACAGGGATTCAGATTCTTATGCGAAAGCAGGCTCTTGCTTTGATAAATAAATATTCTTGTGAATATATCATTCTGTGATCGTTGTACTTGTTGGCGTAGTCTGTCGAACTTTCCAACTTCCCTTTTAAAATAATCGTAATAAAATAATAAGTGGTAATAATCTGGAACAAAAGAATCGGTATCGAGTTTTCCTCTTCATCAGTGCCAGTCCTTAGTGAAAGTGAAAGTAGTCTTTCAGCACACATTTCTTAATAGGCAAACTATCCCATCAACAAGACGTGGATTAATGCCATACTTGGTTAACATGCTTCGACTGGATTTATAGGCTGTAATGTTTGTTAATGACCTGGAAACACTGTGTCAATTATATCACTCAATAAATTTTATTATATACGTGAAGGTACCGCGCTCAATGACTCACCAATTGGCTTGGCTGCGTACATTCTAGAGAAGTTCTCAACGTGGACCAATTTGGGGAACAGAGCTCGTCGAGATGGTGGCCTAACGAAGTAAGTCACGTTTGTTTTCGTTGTATGCCAAATTTTTTCTCTTAATCTAGCAGCTGTTAGTCACTCTATCGGTCTCATTTCTTTTTCTCTGCTCAGAAAATTTTCTCGAGGTGAACTGATAACAATAGTGATGATTTATTGGTTGAACGGGAATATCGTTTCATCTCAGAGGTTCTACCGCGAATACTTCCTTGACCAGCGAAATAATGCTTTGAAAAAGTAAGTATTCTAAGAAAGATCCTGCTTCAGATTATGTTGAGAGTCTTAACTCTTTTATTTACTGCCTTTTTCTTCTTAATGGCAGGTTATGTTTCGAATTATAACTCGTATGGAATGCTGAGATATTTGCAAAACTCCGGACCACAGGTGTATGCAGTGGGGAACGAACACGCGCTGCTCCCCGGTAAGGACAACAGCGCCTGTTCGTTCTCCACTGCATACACCTGTGGTCCGGAGTTTTGCAAATATCTCAGCATTTCATACGAGTTATGTTGAGAGTGTTCATTTCCTGTGTTATTTATCAAGCTTTTTTAAGGGTATATATGGCAGTTCCGACTGCGCACGCTTCTGGATTGAATGAATTGTTCGATAGGACGCCTCCTGAGGTAAATTTATGTTCTGAACTAGCTAAAGCCACAAAACATCTTGATCTAACCATAAGTATGCTGAGTTACGATATCACTTTCCCGGGGGCTCGCGTGTTACCTATTGCACTACTTAGACCCTTCCTGTGCCCTTCTTTCAGCAAGTTGGTTATTCTAATGGTGCCATCAGCATTCACCCGTAAACATGAATGATCTAGGAAGCATCGGTCCGTATTGAACACGGTTAAGCTGAGACTGCACTCGAAATCACAATGTGTAACATTTTATTTACTGCTTATTATTCTTTCATGGTAGGGTAAAATGGCGAAGGATGAAGCTGTCGACGTTGGTCAATCCCTTAGGGATTCGCTATGCGCTCTACTTGATTCATCATCTTTAGAGCTAGTCGAATGCATATCTGGCCTATACTTGACTCTCGGTGGCCTAGCGATGCATCGAGCCAGTGCTCTTATCCTTCTAGACAGGTCTTGCAACAGTTTACTAACCCCAGAGGGATGGAACGCTTGGGACACAGGATGCAGTCCATGTGTATTCCAGGGATCCTTTAACAACTGCGTTAGACACACCATATGGCAGGGTCTTATGTGAAATACAACCACAATGATTCTGAGATGTTTTCATTGTAGTTGTCTTTCATATAATGCTCAGCCAAGAAGGGATTAACAGGCAGTCAATAAAAATTTATACACCTTAATATAGTCGAAAAATGAGAATTTTCCACTGACACATCATTGGTGAAAACGGTTCTTCCTCTACTACATCAAGAGAAGAGCTTAGCTGAAATGCCGCATGGCTGTTAAATGTTTATGGTTTTCATTTAAGATACTGTTTTTTATCATAACATGTAGCAGTTCCTTTGTCACCCATCGTTTATTGAGACATAACGCCAACATGCATTGGCCACAATGCATTTCGTGTTTTTTTTGCAGTTCAACCGTTTTTACTACACTGCATTGTCCCAAATTCTTTCTAAACCACTTGATAGAGCAAGGTACCAACTCTATGCTTGCACACACATTTCATTTCGTTCTATTAAGAAAAGGGCGATCCGCAGCTATCTGGAAAGAGCGAGTCACCATTTTATTTTTTAAGAGCAGGCTTGCCATTATTTGAGGAGGTATAAAATAATAAAAGTTAGAAAACTTACTGCAAAAAATTGGTAGTAGAAATGTACCGACAAAGTCTCATAATTACTGGAGAAGAATGGAAGTGTAAAAATGTTAAGACCATCACTACTGTGCCTTTATATCTTACTGTTGCATGGAAAGGGCATAAAACGAAAATTGCAGTTTTATGATTGATAAGAGGTTACATTTAATTGCAATCTTCTTATTAGAGCATTCTGAACACGTACTGAGTATGATGGCGTACTGATGGCAAAAAGATCGATAGAACTAGCTGAGAGACAGGCAAGACGAAGGACCCGGATGGTGTAGTGGTGAAGTGCGCTGCTCCCCGGTAAGGATAACAGCGCGTGTTCGTTCCCCACTGCATAGACCTGCGGTCCAGAGTTTTGCAAATATCTCAGCATTTCATACGAGTTATATTTCGCAACATACCCTGCCATTAAGAAGAAAAAGGCAGTAAATAAAAGAGTTAAGGTACTGAGTATGGTTTAAATATCTACTCAAACTCAGAACTTACACTTTAGATCTCATCAATGACATGCAACCTCACCCGCTACACCGTCATACCTGACATGGGTCATTTCGCTGCACTCGAAGCGCCCCAACCGCTTGCGGCCGACATTTTTGACTTCGTTAATTCATTGGAGAAATAGATTTCGATGGAAGAAGGACCTCATTTCTACAGTAAAAACCCATAGAAGTCATAGATGTTTCTGAAACATCAATTAGCTCAAACTGTATAAATTCCTTGTGCTATAGAAAGCTTTGTAGCATTGACAGCATCATATTCCTTTGTATACCAGATTTCCTTGTGCAAATTCATTACTTTCACAGCAGTGTCTAATTTTCCCCTTTTCTGTGTTAAAGTCATATATTTGTTCATTTTATACTCTTATAACTTTAAATGATTGAATGGTGTAGTTTAGTTTTCGTAGTTATAGGCTGTGTTGAAACTTTTGTTGTATTGCGTTCGTGTTGTCTAACAAAACTTTCATCTATTTTATATCTTTCAGTGGAGATAATTGCAAACATTGTTATCTATCGAGCTGTGGTGGATTCATAAGTCTTTGAAGATGATTGCAGTTTATTAATATTTCCCTCTACGATTGAACTCTACTACCTTGAAGATTCTCATACGACATTTGGCAACATAGAGAGAAGGCGACTGTACTACAGAGAAAGATGAAATGAGATTACCATTAAGTAGCGAATGCTTTTTTTACGAATAAGTTAAGATTATTGCAAAATGAGAAAGCACTTCATTTCCAATCCAATACTGAGGTTAATAGAAAGTCGACCCTGGTAACTGAGAAAGCACTGCTAGCGGTAGATTTCATTCTGCAGAAATCAAAAATGATCCGACAGTGGAATGGAGGGTCGTCAATAGGATGTGTAGAGGAATGTATGAATAAAGCAGGGAGGAACTTTTAAGGTGGCAAACAACAAATAGTAGTATAAAGAGTTGCTTGCTCTACTGTAGAAGACATACACCGATTTATCGGATGTATTCGAAATATAGGTGTGAAACCTTAGGATTGGTTGGAAGCACTAAGGAGGTGTAATCAGGTCATTATGGTCATTATGACCCATCAACGCTGCGAAATAGGGGGCTATTTCAGAGTCATAGGCAAGACGCCCGTTTTTTTTAACTGTGTTTAGCATTTTTGATACATATGGCTTGATGGGCTCTGAACGTGGAGGCTGGGTATACTCACGGGTAGCTTGCAAGGCTCTCCCAGAGTGGACATGGAGCCTATTTGTTGGAGGCGACTCCTAACCGCCTCCATATACTTCCCAGCCACTTGATTGCAGGGTTTTGGCCGAATTGACTCGTAGAATACAATCCTCATAAGCAAGAGCGCACGTACACACGCATGCATCAATACTCTTAGCAAATACAGAAACTATGTGCCGAATCGGCGCAGCACAAACAGGGAGTCCACCCCTGGATCTACTTGCGTCTCAGGGAAACAAAAGTCGCTTTTGGTCCGCGATTAACCCCCTATCCACCACCTGGGGACGCGCCACATAGCCTCGCGACTACCCGGCTCAAGATCCCTCGTATAAGGGAGATCCGTGAAGACGCCAGCCATTCAACTCCGTCTATGACACTGAAGAAGAACTGTTCCTCCGAACGTGCGACAGTAGAGGAATCGGCGGCGTCGGCGTTCTCGTCAACACGAGATTGTCCATGAACATCGATTCATTCGAACAACATACAACTCGAATTGGCCGTTTACGATTGGAAAGGCGTGGATCAATTCCGGCTTTGACAATCTTCGTCGTTTACGCTCCGACATCAAACTATGACGAAGAAGTCGAAGCGTTCTATATGGACTTGGAGAAGTTCTACAGAGAAGACCACACATTCTTCAAGGTCACCCAGCCATGTGAGCAAGCAGGGTTTCGAAAAGGATTTATTACAATGGACCGCATCCACACGGTAAGAAGGCTTATTGAAGTATCGCGAGAGTACGACAGACCGCTGTGTCTACATCGATTTACAGAAGGTCTTTGATTCAGATGAGATAGAAGCAGTCTTGGAAGCCCTTAATAGCCAAGGAGTAACTACACAGTACATAAAGATTCTTCGTGAGCCGTACAAAGATTTCACAACCATGGTATCACCATTCTACAACGATATTATCGTTGACGTGAAAAGTGGAGTTAGGCAAGGCGATACCATCTCGCCAAATTTATTTACCACCACCCTCCAGAACGTCATGCGAACATTGGAATGGGATAATATGGGAGTGAAAATCGATAGTTGGCGGTTACACCATCTTCGCTTTGCTGATGACATCGTCCTTATAACACGAAACATTAGCCAGGCGTAACATATGCTTGACGACTTTGATAAAGTCTGTGGAAAGATTGGTCTTCGACTAAATCTTACAAAAACGATGTTCGTGAGGAACGGATTGGTTTCGTATGCCTCATTCACGCTCAACGGAACGAATATCTCCGAATGCTCCAGGTATGTCTATTTAGGTCAGGAAATCAATATGACGAACGACCTGGCTCCAGAGCTGAGCAAAAGGAAACGAGCGGCTTAGGGAGCTTTCAAGAGCATCGAGGATGTAGTGAACAGCACAAAGGACACTCGACTCCGTGCCCACCTTTTCGACTCAACGGTACTTCCTGCCCTAACGTATGCGTCAGAAACCTGGTT